ACTTGTTTACTTGAGCAACAGCAACAAAGATGGTAATGAAATGCGTGTAAACGATTCTACCAGCGGAGAAGACATCCGTAAATTTACACCGAACATAGCTGGCAACTTCTCTCTAGGTATGTACACGTGAACCCGCATGATATGACACATCAGTTCATATATCATCTTATCAATATTCCAAGAATCCATGGTTGAGTCTTATCAGCTGATTAAAGTCAACCAAATAAGAGGCAGATCCTCGACAAACTGAATTATCATTTCCTTTACTTCACATAACTTCTTCAATGAAAAATTTTGATTCTATTGATTAGATTAGATTGTTATTCTATTTTTTCTATGCAGAAACTCGTTCGTTTTTCATTAATTTTGTGAATGCAAATCTAAATGTCACGCCCTTCATACTATTAGTAAATATAACGGGGACAAATGAAGGCGTATCATACATAACTCTGTTCTGTCTCGTTAAGCATTTACGCAAAGTTCTATATTTATCTTTAAGGATCTAATTTAACTGGAATAATAAGAGTCAAAGTCAGTAAAACAGTAACACCATTGGTTGATTTGAATGTGAAAATTGGTATCCGTTACCAGACAACAAAAGGTGAAGTTCGACCTTTTAAAATGTACAAACCCGACCCAGGCTACATTGCTGGCACACCTGAGTTTTCTGTGGCGGTAAATCCCAACATTACAAAAATCAACATCGGACAAGTTGTTGAAATAACGCTCAAAATCATGATCGAAAGAATGAATCTTGATGGAAATTTATTTGTAAGTATAATATATGATAATAATTACATCTATATTATAATATTTAAGTTATCGAAGTAATGAATAATTACGAGTAGAATTATTTGGACTTTATACTGCATGTCTGTTTAATAAATGGCCTCCTCTTTTGAACTGACACTCTGGGAACGAGGCCTTAGGTTCAATGACGTTTTATTATTATTATTTTTCTTGTCACAAAACTGAATTTAGCTGTATCAATCAAAACCCTTAAAAGATTTCCTACAAGTTCCCCATGCATCCACACTGCGGGCTGCAATGATACCAAATAATTATTTGCCAAAGCAATTGTTCATGTAGGAGATCGGTTTCATCCAATGCTGTGCTCAAAGAATGATGATAATGTGTAACTTCACAGCTTCACCTGATATCCAAAAAATATGTTTACTGAAGAGCTATATTGTGATGATGATTATACATGTTGTCATGTACTATACTACAGATGACGGAGTTACCAAATCTTGCATATGTTCCTGGATATTGGAAATATTCTCACTCACTTTCAAGTTTCTTTAACTTAGGTCATTCATGTTGATAAATTCTAAAATAGTAGCTTGTGCTTCATTTTATAGGTTTATCTTCCTGATCGAAAAATCAACTCAACCATCATGCGATTTGTAACCAGTGAATCTTTCAATCAAATAACTTATGGTGTAAACATTGATGCCGATATCAAAAATGCCACGCCCTCTTACTATTCATCAGATGCCAATGAAACATACAAAAATAGTGCTGAACTAAATTTTGGACAGATTAAAAATAAAAATATGACAAAATACGAATATGAGAAAAACACGATAACAATGGCATTTAAAGTGGTTTTGGAGGACAATGATAACGTGAAAAATTTATCAAACTACCCAGTAAATATTGGCATGAAAACCAGTAACCAAACTGTTTGGGTCAGTAAAATAAATTTTATTGCGAACATTGCCCCTTCACGCCGACCAAAGGTTGAGATTATTGCAGCATCAAATGGTAGTGATAGCTTGAATCAAGGGTAAGTTATAAAAATTTTCTTTATATCCCATAATTCATTGAATTTTAAACATTTTCAAAGTTCTCAGCTGGGGAATCCTACAGAAGGACTGATGAGTGATGCATTACATCACTGAGTTATCTACAATCCATGCCGTCCCAATAAATTGATTAAAATAATCGTTCTCTTTTAGCTCTGTTGTGGAATACAACTTCACAATTTCTCATAAAAATGATTCTGATGCTCACGCACAAGATGTTGAAGTAATATGGATGTTACCCGTTTACATAAAGTATCGAAAGCTCACGCAAAACCAACCAGTTAATGTTCATCATCAGTTGATGTTAACCAAGTTACGAGATAACGTCAAATTTTCGGTAAGGTTTTTCTCACAAACATGAGGAAAATATTTATCCTCGCTAAAATTGTCAGCTGTGTATGTTTCAACAATGGCCGTACTCGCAAAATATTTGTCAGTTGTAATAAAACAATACTAGTTAAATATACTTTTGGTTTAGTTAAAAAAGCTGGATTTTGGCGAGAAATATTTCGTGTCTTTTACCGTTGAAATCGATCCTAAAAATACGAAAACCAATCCTGGCAAGTACTATGCTGTTACTCCTGTGGCTTTATCTTACAAGAAGAACCAAACGTATTTTGAACCTTTGATCCCGATTTCGATCGCCTTCACGGTTTCCGAGGAAACCCAAAGTAAGACTTTCATTTGTGATTCCAACTCTACTTTTGTTGATATTTGTTCTTTCCTGTTTGTTTTCCTGTAATTAATTTTTTTTTTATAGAATCGGAAAATAGTGTTCCGGCAAAAATATCGAAAAGTAAGACATACACTTTATCATGTTAGGACAGTAATGAAATTTTTTTCATACACCCTGTACAACCATTGCATCCACTTTATCATGTCATCTAGGACAGTAATGAAAAAATTTGCAACAATTACTAATCGAATTCTACATTACAATGTAGTGCTTTATAATCGTGGATATTTGGTCGACACGTCAAGGTCAATCATATATGTTTGCTCTGTTTCTTTGAAAAGGTGAACAAATACTACATCCTTAGTCCTTACTGTAGTGTGGCAGCTGGAATAGTAGGTGCTAGTTCTCAGGAAACATTCGATCTGACTGCACGCGTGTCAATTTAATAATAAATTTCTAACAATATATAGCAGTACTTAGCTTTTTCATTTAATAATGAACTAATATAATTTGCTTTTTAGGGACAAACCAAGCTGTTTTTGGACGAACACAAATGGCAACACATGGCAGGGTGAATATAGTTTATGTATTTATTATCATATCATGTAACTTATTCTTCCTTGACATTCTACCGGGTATTTTTGAAGCTGTCCATGTGTCTGTAATCAACATCATTGGAATTGACAATCAGACAAAGACATTGTATGGTATCGGAAACAATAAGAAATCGTATATGAAGTATTCTCCAGATGAGGAGAAATGGTTTTCGATGTTACCAGAGATGTGGGATAGAATATTGCCAACACTTTCTCTTAACAACACGGCTATCAAGATTGAAGATGGTTATGAAAACGAATCCGACCCTAAGAAGGAAAAACAGCGTGATATGGGGAATGGAGAGATATGGGGAGGTTAGTAAAACATTATCTGTTGATTTTCTCCGGCGCGATGAGGCAATTAAGGTTGTCTCAGTTTTATTATGAAATATTCAAATAGTAGGTAACTCTGAAATACACGACTCTGATTGGCCATATCTGTCCTTAACTACAGTTAAAACTAGTGTTTTATACAACTGGTCCCTGAATTGTCGAACGATAAAATGTGGCAAAAAGACTGACAAGAAATAAAAAATAGATATGGAATGTTTAAATGGCAAAAATGTGAATTTCTCCATTTTATAAATAGTTAGGACAAAGCCTGCTTTAAACTCACAGAAAATTTAATATTATTATAATTGTATTTTTCAGCAAACAAACTTGGTCTCTTCCACTCTAAAAACGGCGCGAAATGGAGTCGTAAGGCATGTTGGGATTGTTTCCAATGATAACATTTATTACTAAAACTTTTTTCTTTTTCATTTATACATTGTTTAACAGTGTCAGCACTGAGCCACTATATTCAACAACATTTAATTATATGCGCATGTTAAATTCGTATTTGTATATCGATAGATGTGTATTGTATAATATTGTATAATATAAGCTTCACCATACAACAATTGTATATCCTTTTGAGGAAGTATTAAAAAGTAATTTTTAAAACATTAATTTATGCATTATTTAGTTATATTTATCGTGCATGTATCTATCCTGAGTGCATGGCTGGCGGCTTCGTGGTCAGGTACGGGGTTTGTGACTGAGTAAAGCCAAATGGCGAGCGATGAGTTATATTTATCGTGCATGTATCTATCCTGAGTGCATGGCTGGCGGCTTCGTGGTCAGGTACGGGGTTTGTGACTGAGTAAAGCCAAATGGCGAGCGATGAGTTACGGTTGCCTCCAATCAACTCATGAAGTATCATAATCTAAACCGCGTGCGAATAATAGCGTCTTCGCCTTCACCTTCCTCAGGACAAGAACGAAGAGTGAAAAGTCGAAAACACACGCATATGATGATAAAAAATACACGTGGATTAAAGCTAAACGCTCGCTAAAAATTCAAAGGCGGTTCCATTGCGTTAGGCGTAATTTTTCAACCAGGCCGTTAATCGTTGTCAAACCTATAACAATGCATGCCTTTTGTGTCGTGTAAAAACAGTGTTTACACAAATGCCTTATTCTACAGGCCCACATGCCCAATTTAGATGTTCCAGACTAAGTGTTTGAGATATGGGGCTGTTATATTTTTTCAACTGAATTGTTGGCTAATTTGAATTTGAAATTTTTAATAGCAGAAGTACCGCCGCATCACATTTAATTCCATTACATACCGATTGCCTAATATAAATACATAAGAGATGCCTGCGGAGGAGGCTAACCGATTGATTAACTTAAGGCCTAAGTAGATTTTAAAACAGGGGGATCAAAGGGCCGCCAATAACAATGTTTGGCTTATCTATTCAGTGTTAAGTAACTTGCCAACCCTGTCATTAAATTATTTTGGCGCTACCCGTGATTGTGGACAGATCGACAAAGAAGCTCTCACTTAAAGTGCGGTTTTTTGTAAGATTGACAAAATGAGAAATTTCCGAGTTCTGTTGACTGTTTGTACAGCCTTATTATAGCTGGCTAACGGTTAAACAGCGTCAAAGATCCGACCAAGTGATATTGACAATTGGATAACCATGTTGATTTGAGGTATAAACTAATTTATAATTCCCATTACTTCCCACACGTTTTACATTTTCATCTGCCAAGTTCTATAATACTCCACTGAAACTTATTATGATAAAGCTTCAGGTGAAGCCCGCGGTGGATGAAGAGCTATAGTGGTCATTGTAAATCGGAGGGTTAAACTTCGGTCTGTGGGCAACGGAATTATGAAATGGTCAAGTCCGAATTTCTTTATTCAAATCTTCTTTTTTATGCTAAAATGATCGTGATACATTTCAAATCTGAAATAACGAGATCATACATTCATAAAACACTGATGTATTAGGAAAGCCGATAAAAATGTGGCCGGCGTGGCAGTAGAAAACACAATCCGTCGAGGTTAATCAAAAGGCAACGAGCTTAGGAACACCGATAACAGAGAAACTTAATTTAGTACTGGCCTGCCTATAGCATAAGAAATTTAAAGTTATACTGAGTGAACTACGAAGGCGTATAAATTGTATTGAAACAACAATTAAGCTTCAATCGTGAACATTCAATAATATGCTTGTAAGCTAGCCTCTCATGCATACACCGCATTATTTCCCAGGCTTAGAGCCCGGAGTAGCAAATGCAGTGAGTAGCAAAACTGCGAAAGATTTATAAAAAAACACCCATCAATTTTCGAAATATATGGTTTTCAAACGGTTAATAAAAGGATTCTCTCATGTCATATACATACAGGATTGCTAAAACAGCTCCGTGTCCTGACCACTTCAGTGTCGAAGATTTTCATCGACCCAAACAATCTGTGTTTCAAGAATTGTTTATTCATTTGCACTTAATGAGGAGAGATGGAAGATCTCAACACTCGTGTTCAAAGGAAGGACAGAAAACAAGTAACAATAAATGAAAACATTGCAGAACTTGAAGGTTAGTTTACCGCGAATATATTGACATGCAGGGTGTATGAAAGAACGTTACCTCAGTTTAAGACGAGATCTCAAAGAGATCCATTTTGTTCCGACAAAGGAGTAATTCTCCATAGAAATTTTAAAAAAAGCTAATTCTGGGTATGAGAAGCATATTCTAGAAGCACAAATGCACTTCAAGAGTTCAAGTATAATATCGTGTAAATTTCCAATTTCCATTAAGTAAGTAAAGAAATTTTTATCCAATTAGGTCTACTTTATGCACTCTAGAATGTAGTATAATATGACAGCAAACCTCCTGTAATTCAATTAGAAGCTGTTTGAACTGATTGCCAGGAATTTGGAACCACATAGTGTGCTTTGCCTCTTAATTGGCACAGGATATTGGGTGACTATTGGGTGATATTTGAAGGTTACTCTTTTATGCACCCTGCATGTGGCACGTTTCAGTAATATAGACTATAGTATAGCAGTAATACTAATAACTCTTAAATAACGGTAGATATCATATCTGAAATTCTTCAGAAATCTTGCGAATTTAGACAACTGTGTTCCAAAAGGTAGCTAAAGGCCTGAAACGATACATATGTGATCCTTTTGTAAGAAAGCTTCCCAAGTACTTTTTTAACAAAGGCATGTTGTTGACAAAGGCATGTTGGCCGTGCAATATGAAAGAATGTCCCAAATTATTGTGCACCCCCAGCTAACTTTTTTTGAACCCCTAAAATTGGATATTGTGAAAATACTAATTAAATTGAGCTAGATTAATTAACGTTCATAGAATTTTGGTGGTTAAGCATTTGCCTAAAATAGACTTATTAAAAAAAAGCTTCACGACGTTTCGAACTTGGGAGCCTTCAAAGGTCAAGAGTTCCAGTACTACATATTTACTAATTATAATAATATACTACAATGTTCAAGTTCATGCATAAAACGATAACCTACATATGTATATATACTATATATTCACTGAAACGTTATAAACTAAGGCAGAGTTGCATGGCAATGAGGTCACAATTTTTCCTAATGTAAAAATATATAAACCAGTGAAACACCTTCAGTATACCCCTCAGTATACTATAAGTCTTCACTCTTCATGCAAATCCAAATTATGTTTTTCTCTTTAGCTACTTTTTAACTGGCCCTTCCGATGAGCGGAGCCGGACTTACTTCCATGCTGTTTGGAACTAAATTAGAATTTTTTACCTCTTCACAGAAATATTTGAAGATGACAAACCAAAGAGATTAGTAACCACTGAACAAAAACGTGCAAGTGAATACGCTTTGATTCAGTATTTATCAACACTTGTGAAGAAAAGAAATCTTATAGAATCTTTCGATTTTCGTTTTGTTGAGTATTTGCTAGAGAACGGAGCCAATATTAACAATTGCGATGTCATTGGACAATCACCATTTCATATTGTTGCCAAGTATTGGAACATTGACGTGGCAAGGTTCTTACTTGATCACGGTAGGAATTATTTAGCCTACGTCTGGTCTAGCAAAACTGGTTCTTGCATGGATAAATATATCTATACCACGCTCACAGGACAGAAAGCTCTTGAAGGATCCTTTATACCAGTCGCAGTCATAAGAGCTGCATGTCTACTCAGACATTCTCATTTGACAACTCTCTCAGTTGAATGGAAAGAAATTATATTCTATATTTCCGTTTTTATTTTGCCAGGTGCTGAAATCGATGCCCAGGATTGCTTCGGTCGTTCACCTTTGCACGATGCTTGTGAGTTAAATTACGACGACATGGTTGAATTTCTTCTTCAGAATGGCGCAAATATCAACATCCAAACTTATGATCAGAAACAAAGGCCAATTCATTTTGCTGCGAAAAATGATGCATGTCAGTGTTTGACTAAGTTGTTGGCTAATGGAGCTGATATTAATTCATTAGATAGTAAAAATAGAACACCACTTCAGGTATGTTGACTGACATGATGGCTGTGTTAATTTTAGAAGAAGGCTGCATGCATGGGGTTCACTGTTCAAAACGTCAAAATTTGGTTATATTTTCTTTCGCTATATTTGGTTATATTGTGTTTTTCGTTCTTATCGTTGGACGATATTAGCTATACAGTAAAAAGATTAAGCGGCGATATTTCCAGGTAAAATATTTATCTAAATAATGCTACAATATTATTTAGCTTGCTGCTGAATTGAACCGTTCCAATATTGCTCTGTTGTTGATCAACGAAGGGGCTTCAGCCTCAATATACGACAAAGAAGGAAACTCAGCGTTGACCTTGCTTACTGAGAAAATGCCTGATATCGCTGTACTGGCCTTAGATCAACTGCACTCGACAGACAACGTCAACCGAAAAGAATTCTTCTCACTGAATAGCTTAGAAAGTTCAAAGATCAATGGAGGACGTCCCAACTGTGCCCGGACACCTCTGAGATTGCCGTCCAAAAACGCTGTTTCTGTATTGTTATGCATCCTGTTGTTCAGCGGTTAATCGATTGAAATGGGAACACTATGGGAAAACAGGGGCTATCTATGATCTGATGCTAACCTTGGTTATGCAATACTCTGGACCATACTGAGTCTAGCATTGTGTTATCGAGCAAACGATATGTATTTACCATTAGGATCAAAGGATGGTTGCTAGGCATCGTTATCGTTATAGTCCTTATGACTGGGAATGAAATAAGAAGCAAATTTCTGGTAAATTGCTAAATTTTAAACATAAATTTACTTATCACTTTTGTTATAACTTGTATTTACTTGTGTCCTAGCCGATTCTTGATTTATTCATTTCATGAAGATACACTCCGCGTACGGCGACAAGAGAAAGATTGGATTAACTGGAGAGCTCGCAGTCTTGAAGAAGACCTAGGATATTGTCATCCCAGATCCACAGTAGAATGGAAATATTTAGCGAAAGAAGTGAAGTCTGTTCGAAATCACTCGACGTATTTCAACGATGGAGATGGATGGATGTACTATTTTGATTGGTTGGCTTTACTTCTTGTGTTAACAGCAATAATAACGCATATTATCTTCCTGAAAACTGACAGCATCATAGCCTATAAAATCCACCGATGCGTACTGATCAAGTTGTTATTGGTACTTTGGATCCGTATTGCAAAATACGCCAGACCTTTTAAATCCACCGGAACAATTGTGATTATTTTCTCCATATCAAAGATATTATCAAGTGTTCCTTTCTATTTGCGATATTGTTCATTCCTTACGCATGCGCTTTCTGGCTTACGTTTGGTCCCTTTTCTCCAGCACCAGTTCCTGAATACAGTAACTTTGGTGGTCTTCTGTACTGCATGCTCTGTATGGTTGTTGGCGTAGATTTTCCTATTGATGATATACTCTCAGAAGATCCACTCATGGCTCGAATCTTGTGCAGTTCATTTATTATTAGCACAGCTGTAATCGTGGTAAATCTTCTCATTGCGTTGCTCTCGACACTTTACGCGCCTCTATGGCAATGCTGTGGCGAATGCAGTGATGCAAAAGGCAAATAGTATTTTGCGAATGGAGAAAACGATGTGCAGGAAACGAAAGCAAAATTATTACAAGTTTGTGAGAGAGAACTGTAGTCCTCAGGTGGTTCCAATGGCCTTAAACGTTCAAGCCAACGTCAAAGTGAAAAGGGAAATGCAATGAATCGACTAGTAAACGAAGTTAAAACGATGAAGATTAACTTGGTACAAGGAAAATGGTACTGTTTTTTTAATTATTGAGAGTTTGGTTAACTTTAAAATATAGTATATCCCAAATAACTGCTATAGTGTTGCTATATAGCAATCATTATCCACGACCTATAGTGATAACATTGGCTATATCTATCTCATTCATTACAATATTAGACGTTTGGAAATATAGTTTTATGGAAATCATGATTATTTCTCTCAAATCTGTTTTTAGCAGCTTCCAGCGCAAGTTGATGGACGAACGATCAGCGAACTTCTGAGACTAAACAAAGAAAACACCATTAAAATAAATAAAATATTGGGTATTTTAGCAGCACAGAAACAGATGGATTCCAAATTGAATTATCCACAAGAAGAGGCTGCGATCGATGGTGAAGAACGTGATGGCAGAAAACCCGAACAAAGACAAATTCGAAAAGTATTTCAATCCTCTAACTGTAGTTTATCAAGCATACAGAATATCAATAAAAGACGACGGTTTTCCAGTCTTGGTGAAATAAATCGTGGTTTTGAAGATATCCAGTTGTCAGAACTAGATGCATCAGGCAGGAACGACACGATTGGTGATCTCATACGACGAAGAAGATCAACACTGCGCCGTAGTAGCAGTGTAGCGTCAATCCAAGCATTCAAATTCTTAGCACCTGGGCGTAGTTCTGGGTTCCTTTCACAACGTGTTAATCAACGTGGCAGTGTTGGTAGTATCACATTATAAATTGAATGCTTCAAATTCGTTATACAGCTGAGAACATTTTGGGAGGAAGATTGGATGTGAATTAATTTAGTCTATAGCTTTATGAATTTCAATACAGAGTCATAGCTTCTAAAACTCGTGCAACGAACATGGACATACTTGTTGGTACTATAACACCTTACGTGTAATTGGTTTTCACTTTCTTGCATGCAGGCAAATTAATTCAAATCATCAAGATGAGCATATAACACCTAATCTTTAGAGAAAGTTAATTTTATACCGGCAACTTATATTATATATATATAATATATATAATATATATATATATTATATATATATATATATATATATATATATATATAAATATATATACATGATTTTTGTCAGATTTGTGATACAAAAGCGTGCGAGTGTACTGAAATATATACTGAAATCTAAAGTCTGTATAATATGTAAATATATATTTAGGTTTTTGAAATTTACACCTTGCCACTGTGATTTACTTTACTCTGTACAAGCCAGGGTGCAATATTGCATGAAAAAAAGAATCTGCCAAACAGTGCATTGGGTTGAGTCGGAAACTCACCAGACTGATAACGATTTTTCAGTTCGTCGTGATTTCCCACAATGCTCTTCGTTTTTTATAACGCAGATTAAACTTGTTAGTGTGATAAAAGTTCTCGTCGTTAATTGTTGGGTTCATAAATCAAGCTTTCAGAAATTTAAGTTTATACTCTGTTGTATACACTTTAATCCAACGCGATATAATAACCATGAGCTAAATTCTTTTCTATATATAGTCATATTTCTGACAAGATATAAAATATTTTAGAAAGTGTCATTTGCATATTTTCGTTGATTAAACCAGGATCGTAGGCTAAACTAATCGGATATATATGGTGCTATCCAGTATCAATTCGTATATCCGGATCCATACAGATGATAAACACATCGGATACACGCTGGATAATATATATAACCGATTAGGATTAATGATTATCAATTATCTTTTTTATCAATCACCTTTAAATTGTATTGTTGACTACCGTCTTTACAAAAATTGATTTGTAGGTCGGGTTTTGCTGTCACGTGTTCGCGTGCAAGCATTCAGGAATACGACGCCAAAATATTTTTTGAAGTACCTTTCTATTATATCGCTCTTATAGAGCAATAAGATTTACTCTTTTTCTACCGATTATATATAAGGGGCAGCTGTAATTGCGACTTTTAATTTTTTTTTTGAAATGCTATATAAAGGGTTATAAATGCTGCAATCCGGGAATATTTTGCTACCGTCTTAATTAACGGCTTGCTGAAAGATCCTGGGTACGAGTTAGATAATGACATGTTGGTGCTCGTTGCATGCATGGACCTGCATGTATCTCAGTTGCATGCACCACATGCACAGAATTCCAGCAGACAAAGCATTTATGTGACCGCGCACAGAAAATGATAACCAAGCTAAGCAATGCATGTCTGGCTGAAGTCTCTCGTCTACTGTTTGGACGGATAAGCCGTTGACGGTAAATTTCGAACCGGATTCACATTTCACAAGTCAATTAATATACTAATGACACGAGTTTGTCTCCTGGATAAACTCCTTACCGTTGCTGACGTCCATACTTTTAGATATTACTCTCAGCAGTTTTATGCCATTTTTCATTAAATCGGTCTGCTACAGCTGGCGTAGCACGATTGCGCGTAATGATCAAAACCAGAGCCGAATGAAGAACGAAATAAAACCCTGGTTATGAGGTTGCGTACTTATCTAGTGAGCATCTAGCAGTGGTAAGAATTTATTCCCATTCCCCTGCAAATTGAAGCTTCATATCAAATTTATTCGGCGACAGTTTTTATTTACTCAATTATCGTCTATCAACAACACTATCTCTTACATTTTACCATAGAGAGAAAAGTTATTTCTGATTTCGGGTAGGTATGTCACAATGTCATTAATACGCTTGCTAAGATAAAGATATCTACAGTTATTCAAATTCTGTAAATTTTTTCCCTGTAGACAGATGTCTGACTGAACCGCGTGAGTTATCCTCGTTACTGCCACCGGGCATTCATTTCAAACATTCTTTCTAGAATGATTTACAGACACAATCATTTTATTTTAGGTATTTGCAATAATTGTAAGTGAAAAATAATAATTGGTAATATAATTGTAAGTGAAAAATAATAATTGGTAATATCTTTGGCAGTTAATACCTTTCTCAGTGAAGGTTACTTCATGAAATATTCCAGTATTGCTCAAATAAATCACGGCAAATGGACTCGCCCGATGCCATTGAAAATCATTGATTGAAAATGTCCCTCAGATCCGTCAGTTTGGTCCGATGAAGTGTCCGTGACGGATCTTAAATCACGTGACCATCCTATGCGCTAATCCAGTTACTTGATCGTGATAAACAGATCAAAATTTTTGGCAACCACACATACAAAATAGTGAAATTCCGAGTGACGAAATTGCCATTAAAATCTCGATACTCGCATTAATTAAAAGGGATTTATTTGCAGTTTTATTTTTTCCCGAACTTCAGTATAGAATTGCCCCGGCAGAAATCTAACCGAAAATTAAGTTTCCACGATAGTTTGTCTACATAAGCATATGCGTAGAAAACTATCACGAAATGGAATTTATAACCCATTAAACTTGATTCCGCAGACAAAAAATATACAAGTTACTTATGACATACTTATGACTTATACTTTTTATCCCGTTCAAGTTGTTTGTTATAACAAGTACCGGGTTTGTTGAATATTACTGGGTCTAGGACATTGAATTCGAATTTTTCTATGCTGTTCTGAAAAGCTTTACAATTAAGTTCTGTAATTAATGTAATAATGTGCGTGTTTTCTTTCATTTTACTATATTGTTATTCACATATCTTATAAACATTTGACACGTCGCGAAAAACGGAAATGAAACGTCAACACTTGCATGTAAAGTAATTTTGAATTTGATACACATTCGAGACGGCGCATTGATATAAAGGCGTACTTAACTAACATATCCTTCATTCTCTTTGGCTGGCGTCCATTCGTGGAGTGACAGCTCTTCTACACCACCGTGTTTTGAAGTAACTGCTTGTGATTAATCCATTCGTAGACGGACATAGAATTAAATATGTTATTTAACAACATTTATGTCTTTCTGGTCATTTATATTTTTGCGGTATTTGGTATCGGGAATGCCAGAAAGTCCACAAACGACGGTAAGGTTATGCTGCATTAATATGTAATAAAACATTGTTTTGCCTCGCTGTGGATTAAGAACGCGCAATTTCTGTGTTACTGTTTTGAATGCGCACATCCTGTTTTACCATGTTGTACGAACGACACATTGCATTTATTTTGAACATAAATATGAAAATGTGCATTTATCAGTTAACTGTATTCGTGACACGCGGAGGTTGCATAATCTGCATGCACAAAGTCAGCAATTTCTGGTTGTAAATTTTACAACGCACAAAGTTTTACAAGCTTTTGCGCATTATTCTAAATACGCGTTTTATGCAAAATGTGCGCAATATTATTGAATTGACGAAAGACAAATATGGTAATGTTCAAAAGCGGAATAACCTTGGTGCCAAATATGTCATCAATATATAGTAGTGTCATCTATATTACTGACACTTTATTACATTAAGCACATTCCTTAAATTTACTGATATATATTGTAACACCTATTTTTGTAACGATGTCTGAACATTTCATCATTTATTTGGTACTGACAAAATATTTACTGAAAGTGCAATCTTATTTGCTTAGAATTGACTCCAAAGGTGAAGAAAAGTTAATCCAATTTAAATTGTTATTGCAGTCACCTTTAGAGGGAAATATTTTCTAGGCCTTATGATTTTTCAACAGGTTGTTGGTTTAAATAACAGTTTGAGTAAATGCTCTTCACTATATCTCATCTGAAACATCTGAGATATGTTTGCATGGTTTTGATCGAAACTAGCTACCTTAAAAGTATAAAATAACATTTTGCGAGACGATCAGGAGGTATATTTCGGTAATTTGTAAGAAAATCTTGTATTATCAACTGCTTAATTCACATTTGTTTCATGTATGCAGTTTGTTTTTGTTTTTTGGTATAGACTTTCGAAGCTCTTTTATATAATACCTTTTTTTTAGGTGATCTGCAGTTAATTTTATTTTAACGACCAGGAATTTTGCACTCGGAGGATCATCTCTGTTTGTGTTCGGGTTCTCACCGACTGACAAATAAGAATAAGGCAGGGAACAATTTCGCTGCGTGCACATGAACGCTAAATTACACCTGATGGAAAACATAAAGCTTAATTAAATTAATTTTAGAAGTGTCATTAAAGATTGGAAATCCAGAGCATTAAAGATTATTAAATTTAATTCAACGTTATTGGTTAGCGAAAATCTATAACTATACTTTTTTGCTGACCAATCATGTTGAAGGATGTCGGTTTAGGATGTCTATTGTGCTAAAGTGAGGCTGGATATTCAAATAGACATGAGATTATTCAAAGAAAATTTCATTAATAACTCGGAAAGAGCGCAGTTTTTTTATATAAGCAGTTTTTTATTGAGATATATATAAACAAACATATGTTTGTTTGAGATGTGGCAGTATATATGCATGCTATTTAGTTTAAAAGCGTTTTGAAAGCTCTTTTTCATTTGGTCCATAGTAATGGCAGATTTTTCCGCCTGTCAATGCAATGTAAGAATTGTTAAATCTTTGAGCATTCGTATAATCAATGCATGGGACAATGTATTAACTAGTATGACTTTCTAAATATACCACCTGGGGAAACTTTTACTTTAAATTGTAATTCTCCACCCACTTGCAGCATACAGACACAAAGTATTTCCCCGAAACCTTTTTGAAAATGAAGGTTTCTAATTATTGCACTATAACAAATTGTAAGAAAGAAGATTTGGATTTGCCATAAAATTAAAAATTTTTGTCTTTTTTTTCCCGCAAGTAACATATACAAGAATTGAAACTTACGCATGCATGTTACGAAATCGAATAATAAACATTTGGTCTCGATTTTCCTGCGGGACATCAGACAGTTTAGGTCAAGGGTCTTGGGGCTTAATTTTTCAAGCAAACGCAACTATAATAAATATGCATGATAATCTAATGTGATAAAACATGGAACGTATTCCAAATACGGTAACTTAGTGGGAAAAGCTTTTAAGCTGGTTAAAAAGCTTCATTGGCATTTGGTAATTCACACCAATATCACGAAACATAACTATATAGGCTACAGCTAGTATTGCTGTATAATGATACCATATAATGTAACTATAAAGGTTGCTTTGTGGCAACAACTTCAAATAACAGCAGAACAATCGTTTCTTCATACATCTGCCCATGCAAACATCTGTCTCCATGTTTAGACCGAGGGTCTACACAATGGCCTTGTCTTTAGGCAGTTGAAAACCGATTATTTTCTGGATTTGTATGCCTAGTTTCGTGAACATGTCAAGATGGCTGATGTGATTTATACAAAAACTTGCAAACTAATATTAGTATCATTGCTGAGATATTTCGCTTACGTCTGCGCATCAAAGGTGATGACCCTGAATATTTCCTATTGTCCAAAACTATTTTACCTCAGTCCATTATATTAAGACATCAATACATATCTTGGCACACGAAGATCACAGAAAGATATGAAATCATTAACAGGAAAGAATCTATTAGAACAACGAAAGAAGCGCGGGGGGAAATGGGATGAAATTTTTCGAGGTGAAAAACTATGTTGGAGAGGAGTGCTTGTAACTTTGTTTCGCATATTAAAAACAATGCTTTGTTTAAATAGCCGTAAAATTTGTAATCATACCGGGAAAATTATGCGCCTTGGTGAATGTCATTAAATAAAAACTTAGCTAATTTCGAATTATTGGGGGTAATTACGGTAGTACATATGTCTTCATGATTAACTCTATTATAATGATCGACGTATGAGCAATTAAAAAATAGCCATTCACGGCCTTTCTTAATGAAGAACTAAAAATCTAATCAGTTTTTTAGCCAGTTGGTTTTGCCAGCGCCTATATATAAGGCGATTCTCCATTACACGTCCTTTGACTGAAGCGCGCTTTATTTTTCAAGGTCGCTAGCTTGAGCAGATTTTCAAAGCGAAGCAAATGTAATGGAAAACGGCCTTTAAACTGTGCTCAATTTCGTGCTCAATTTTAGTCATCTTTCCAATGCTGCTGCATGGCACCTTTACAAAGATTTTTCTTATTTTGCAATTCTAACAACAGTCTAACATCATGAATAAAAGAGCGATTTTTTTCGGTTTCATTTCAATGCCTAGCTGAGAATGGTTACACACCATGCACCTAGCTGTTTTCGCCTTTTTATCGTGTGTGTTAAAATAACGATTTTCTTATTGTTGCTTTTATATAATAAAGCCTTTCTGACTAAAGTATCGGCTTGTTGTCAATCGGCAATTCTGGCGGTGAAGACACAAAGGAATCCAAATTGTAAAGCAATTGGTCGACGTGCATCTTCTGGACTTATTTGTCGTACATCTGCTGAATTGTGTTGTGTAAAGCAGTTGCAAGAATCTTTATGCAGAAAGGGAAGATCGGTCGCAATGTATGTATGTTTTATCAGCCTGTTTGTTGCCAATGGATACGAGTTACGACTTACGATAGTACTATACAGAGCATATCAGTATACGTTCCCGTGACAGATTCGTATTTCTTTTATCCAGAACCGATTCCACCTAATTCTAAAAACAGGACAGTGTTAAAGAATCCAAAACTCGATTCGTCCTATACACACCCAATAGGCCCCACAGGTCATTTTTAAGGGGGCTGGGCAAAACTCTCGTTTGGAGCCTTAATCCCTCAGCAGTAACGTATAAAAAATAACATACTTAAAAGGCTGTTTACATACTTAGAAGCGATTTCCTCTTGTTTTGGTGTAAGATAATTTACAAAGAGATGACAAACTTCATTATATCTATAATCTCTTGTTCAGTGAATTGCATTCGACGCAAATATTGCCCTGCTGCATTTGTTCTGTTGCATGCCTGGTTTTTGCGAGTTAAAACTTCGAAAATGAAACCTTTATATTCAACCAGAAGAGATTTTTAAAAGAAATTTATTAACAAGCTGTTAAAAAAAATATTAAGAATCCTCCTTAACACGTACGAGGTTTGGCTATAAAACGGCTTTTGGACAAGCAGCCTCAAGTAAAGATTCGTATCATTCGTATTCGATTCGTTTATAGTAATGGCGGTTCCTGTGATTTGGACTCTACGCGTTATTATGGTAGAGAAGATCACCAAGAGTGCTGTTATTGTTGTTATCTTGGAATTGAGGCCAAACGGAAAGGAATTGGTTGTCAAACTTCCGCGGTTCTTGGTTTCCCTTGTCAAAACGCATTTTCAAGATGTTGTTTAATGGATGGTACGTATATGTAATAAACGAAGCCCACATAGACTATACAACTACGGGAGTTTGCGGTCTTGGGCATAAATAGTTTAATAATAAGGACGCGCCACCCGCAAAGAGGTGAAATGAGTATGAGAATTCTACGGCGCTAGTTATACAAACATGCACATTCTCAAGTAATTAAGCTTGTTGGTACACCACGTAAGTATATAATACTCACGTGGTGTACCTACAAGCTCAATTACTTATCGATTATCACCATGCAAACGTACAAGAATAAAAAAGAATTTGCATATTCTTCCCCACAGGAATAAGCGAGACAATCAACCTCTGTACAATGGACGAAAAATTAAACATTTCGCTCTGCTCGCAATGCATATTATATATAGATGATTTTGTTGTTAAAAGTTTGGCAATGGACGACTTGCGCTTTAGACTAATTTCTTACCTCGGCGATAAAAAGGACATTTTCTGAAAGAGCTTACTAAAATAAGTAATACTGTCAAGTTTGACTGCGAATTGTTGTAAAATACGGAAAATATACCCATGCGAAGTTGTCGATTTTTGTATACTTTTGTATTACGACCGGAAGTTTGTAACTAATTTAGTTACACATTTCCGCACGTAATACAAACGTATACAAAATTTGCCAACTTCGCATGGCTATATTTTCCGTATTTTACAAAATTTCGCAGCCAAACTTGGCAGTTTTACTAATTTAAGTAAGATCTTTCTAGCTGGGGTGATTTATTTTCCTCTAGTTACTTCGATCAAAAGTTTGTCTAAAGCGCAAGTCGTCCATTAAACACTAATGCGCAACCAATTTTTGTTCTTTATTCCGCGTTGTTTAGATCCACATCCTTCAGGTTTTCCAACAGGAGTGTTTGGACCAGTAGTAGCAACAACTGCACCAAGAACATGCTCTAATTTAGGATGTTCTCAAAGTTGTGTTCTCCTCAGCGGTGTTCCTACTTGTGTTTGTAGGAACGGATTTGAACTAAATGTGAATGGTCGTACGTGCAACGGTAAGTATATACGCTTGGCTTTGTTCTCAATGTCTTCAAGAAATTAGCAAAAAAGAGAAGCAGTTAATTTATATTCATTCATCCTTATCACAAGATATAATGTTCCCGTAGCGATGTAAAATTTAATCTAGATGTTGTTCTATAAAGTTAGTTATTACAAGCAGTATAGGTATGTCACACACGCCGGTTGAAATATCTTGGATGGTATTAGGTTCAAACAGGTGAGAGTATATTTTTCTACTCACATGTAACAATTAACTTTTAGATGTGAATGAATGCGCCAGAGGTGTAGTGTGCAATCAAGGTCAAGCGTGCAGAAACACGTACGGGTCATACGAGTGCGTTAAAGGCGCACAAGTTGTCACCGTTGCCCCTACTATCACGTGTCCAATAGGTCTCGAAGTTGATCCCGGTAGAAGACAATGTCGAGGTAAAATTATATATCATTTATGTGCATAATGTACTTAACAACATATGATTTAAGATTACTGCCTCTCAATCGCCTTTTGCTGGTTCCACAACGCGACGTTCCTTGTTACCTTAACTTCCACTTTTAGCAATAAATTACAACACATGCACAATTAAAATTGTGGCTACAGATACCTGAGCAACCTCGTACCCAGGGTCTTTTCTCTGTGCTCACTCTGGCGCGGGGAGGGGGGGGGTGTGTGTGAAACCCAAATACTCCCCGCCTCTAAAATGTCCCCACCGCTAGCTTTAGGGCATCGTCCCCCTTAATCCCACCAATAATTGCTAGTTCAATCCTGGGTAATGCAAGTCTTCGAATCAAACTTTCCAACAGTTTATTTATAAACTTGAATAGGTTATTTTAGAAATCTTCCCATGGTTTAATAAAAGCTTTATTTTCCAAAGTTTTGTGCAAAACAGCTATCCATAAATGCATAAACAAAAACAGCATTTTGTCACGACAGTTTGTAAAGAATTTAACTGATGGTTAGTACTAATCGGACTTTTGGCAATCGAGCCTTGCGTCATAATATATACCATGCCCAGCAATAATTCTGGTCTACGTAGAGAACACCGTGCCAATTATGTATTTAGAAGCGTCGTGCTCTGTTAGTCTAAACTTTATTCTTCATTTTTTCCTATACATGCATGTGTCATGTAAAAATATTTATCAATTATTGGACGAGGTCGAGCAAAATATCGTGATTTGTCGGTGGCGAGCAGATCAATTATTTGCCGATGCCGAAGGCAGAGGCAAATAATTGATCTGCGAGCCACCGACAAATCACGATATTTTGCGAGAACCGAGTTCAATAATTGTTTTATCATTCACCACTTAATTTTCAATTCATTCACCACTCAATTTTCAATTTTGAGTTCGTTTTATCGGACAGTTCGGCAAAGCGAGTCGCCATTGTTTATAAAATTGACATTAATGCGCATGCTCAGAGTATTATTTGCAGCTGAGTATTATTTGCACGCAGTTATTTGCAGGTAAATTAACCAATCAAAATTGAGAATACTATAAAGTGAATGATAAAAATTCATTATCACTATATATACTGTGTGTATGTCATGTTATGTATTCATACTATTCATGTATGTATATATAATTTGAATTTTTCACATTCTTTGGTGCATGGAGATATGCATGTCGTCTATGAAACTTAATCGTTCACACTAGTTCAAAATTTAAACTTAAATTTCCACAGATATAAACGAGTGTGAACGATCTCCTTGTCAACCCGAGGAACAGTGTCAAAATTCGATAGGAAGTTATACATGCAACCCAAGATGCCCAAGTACATATGTATTCAGGAATGGTCAATGTGAAAGTGAGTTTTAAAATAAAAATCCTGTTAATTGTTATATAAAAGATCTTTGAACATTCGAATATTCATTATTTGTTATTATAATTATTAGATAATTAATAAAAATTAATTAATTTATTAATATATATCGAACACTCGTTCCAGAAAAATGTCGTTCAGGATTGAGGTGGGACGGTCGACGATGCACGGGTAAGCGAAGGCAAACCTAAAACATCTCCAATATTAAACAAAAATAATGCGTAGATAGCATGCACCAGGGACCACAAATTTGGAACTTGATTACCTGAAATTCTGAGTGAAGGTTATAAATTTCTGTTTGAAAACACTGACCTTAAACTGGAATATGTAAAACTCAATGGACGACTTCCGCTTTAGACTAATTTCTTATCTCAGCGATAAAATGGAAATTTTCTGAAAGAGCTTACTAAAATTAATAAAACTGTCAAGTTTGACCATGCACGTTTTATTGACGTTAGATATAGACGAGTGTAATACAGTAAGGAATGCCTGCCCAAGTGGACAATCATGTGAAAATGTTCAAGGCAGTTATCGCTGTCGTTGTCCAAGTGGATATACACTTCGCAACTCAAGATGTTATGGTAAGTTTTAAAATATTTATGTTCAGCAAAGGTCAAAAACAAATCTAAATACTTTATAGCTAAAAATTCTTGCAACAATTCTTTCCCTTTAGTGCGTACACCAATAGCCTGCTGGCCCTGCTGCATGGCTTTGTGTGTTGAATGTCCTTGACGGATTTCGATCAGATTTGAATAAAAAATTGTAATTGTTTGCTCAAACAAATGCTTCAATTCTTTAAAAAAGTAACCTAGAATTTGAACAATAAACTATACGTAATTATAATTAACAGAATTTACTTAATACAATATGCGTGCATGTACCTCAAACACACCAAATACAAAGTTACGACACATCTGCAGAGCTACAAAACAAATGCTTTTAAACCAGGCACTTACTCTTCAACAAAATTAATAATTTGCATGGTTATCAGTTTTTGCACTAAAATGGCCATTTTGGATTATAGTGTAAAAAGCCTATTCGTGTGAAATTTTTTGAAAGCGCTTATACTAAAATTAGTAAAACTGCCAAGTTTGGCTACGGATTGTTGTTAAAGTATTGTTTGTACACTTTTGTATTACGGCCGGACTAAATTATAGTCACACATTTCCGCGCGTATATATATTCATACATATTCGTATGTTTTGTGTCTTGACTCCTGCATTTTGATTACATTGTTTTTTTTTTGTTCTCCTAAACAAATCATAAATGTACAAATTCATTTTGTCTAGATATAAATGAATGTCAGAGACCTGGTATTTGTCAATCAAACGAACGATGTCGTAATACAGCTGGATCATACAAATGTGTGACAAAAGTCAATGATTGCAGTCGAGGATATGAACGGGTTGGGGGGGAATGCGTAGGTAAATATAACCACAGTGGATTTTTGCAGGGGTTGTTTTTATGCACCTTTCGAGTTTCGACTCTGTTTGACATCACTAGAGGCTCGTCGGGAGTGATTTCAAACAGGTTTCATAGAGCTATGGAGAACAAATAGTCATGCAATTATTATATACTTCGATGTACACGCGTAGCAGATAGAAAATGTTGGCAAATGTATAAAGTATTATTCATATAAAACAGAAATTTACGAACAATTAACTACAGCGAGCAGTTACATACGTTCTAACAAAACTAAACGACATCTCTTGGAACATATTAGGATTTGTTTTGTTTTTGTTTTTTTTATTTTTCGTCGTCGCAAGGGGTTTTGGGCGCGAATTATACTAGTATTTGAAATGTGTATGTAACCTTTGCCATTTTAATTAATAATAAAATGTCTCATCTCTAATCTGTCATCGATTAATATATGTACATTAGATTACTATTAAAGTAAGTTAGTTTTTTTCGACGGGTACTTTTAATTCATAGTAAACTATTCCAAAGCAATAACATAAGAGCGCGGCAACGCAAAACATGCGACATAGTCATAGTTAAATGAAGTATTAATTATTACATAAAAATTCCTCAAAAGCCTTCTGCACGCCTATAAGCCCGAAAGTTAATTGGTCTCTGTAGTTAGGAGCTATACTGATTGCTTTCTTGAAGTTAATCAAATTTAATTAATAAACATTTACTGATTTAACAGCTCATAACGAAAAAAACTGTAAATGTACTTTTTTACTAACATCCCTGCCACGACTGGAAATACTGATGCATAAAACGATTCATTGCATGAAAAAGACGGTACATGAAGTTTAAATTTTGCTCATGTAGATGTCGATGAGTGTGTCAAATATCGGAAGATCCGGCCTTGCAGAACTAAATTCTGCATCAATATACCTGGCAGTTATCGATGCTCTCAATGTAAAAGGGTTATGAATTTGTCAATTCACGATGTAGAGGCAAGTTTATAAGGAATATTTCAGCTTTCCAATCGCATGCATAGTATGCTATTATATTAATTCTAAGTCGGGAAAGAAACATATTTATGGTCGCGAACATTTATAATTTTATCATAAGTCTAATAGACTGATTAACATTTTGACTTTTTGACTTTCCATGTTTTGTACATTTAAACTTGTGTTGTCACTAACAACTAAAATATAGATTAATGTTTGTTTGCGGGTTCAGTCTAACTAAAATACTGCATTAAATGTGCATCATACCTACATAGCTATCAAAATCTTCGCATCCACCATTTTGCTGGCAAGGTCTTTTCACGGTTCAACTCATATACTATTATTTTTGTGGATAAACCATTTTTTATATTCTATATATTTTCTGCTTTAAAGCAATCAGGGTATGTGGAACATCACGAGAAGATTGCAGTGAGCATGCAAGATGTAGAAACACAGGTCCAGGACGATACCAGTGTACATGCAAGCGAGGGTATAGTGGAAATGGAAAAAATTGCCAAGGTTTGTTACATAAATGTAACAAGGGTGCGACTGACTGTCTACAGTTATAGAATTTCGCGTTGCATTCACGTAATAGTTTGATCATTCCGTGTACGAAAAATCGCGGAACGAAAATGGTCTAAATCAGCCCTCTAATGAACGTATAATCTAATATGGCAAATCGTACATACTTGCTGTTAAAATCATGCAACCTCTCTTTATTTAACTACCATGCACATTTTATTTACGTTAGATATAGACGAGTGTAATACAGTAAGGAATGCCTGCCCAAGTGGACAATCATGTGAAAATGTTCCAGGCAGTTATCGCTGTCGTTGTCCAAGAGGATATACACTTCGCAACTCAAGATGTTATGGTAAGTTTCAAAATATTTCTGTTCAACAAAGGTCAAAAACAAATTTAAATCTAAATACTTTATAGCTAAAAATTCTTGCAACAATTCTTTCCCCTCAGTGCGTACACCAATAGCCTGCATGCTGGCGCTGCATGGCTTTGTGTGTTTAATATCCTTGACAGATTTTGATCAGATTTGAATAAAAAATTGTAATTGCATGTTTGCCCAAACAAATGCTTCAATTCTTTAAAAAAGTAACCCAGAATTTGAACGATAAACTATACGTAATTATAATAACTTGTAGGTACACCACGTAAGTTACTTACGTGGTGTACCTACAAGTTATTATAATTACTAAAGTCGCCATGCAATCATACAAGAAAATTATACGTAATTAATTAACAGAATTTACTGATATGCATGCATGTGACTCAGACACACCAAATACAAAGTTACAACACATCTGCAGAGGCAGCAGAGCTACAAAACAATTGCTTTTAAACCACCAACAAATATTTCTATATGTATATTTTGCGTCACCAAAGCTAACTGTGTTCATTGATTAAAATTATTACCATTATTAAATAACATATTTAATTAAATAGGTTGACTAAGTTGACTTCTACAGGCAGAATACCGTCTGCTATCAATGAAGAACCTGTATATATCTAATCTATAAATAAGAAATAATTAAATTTATAGTACACACACTTACACAGTTACGCGGTATGGCTACTTTACAAGGAAATGCTCACGTAACACTCATAACTTTACTTTTGAAATTACTGTACGAAGTTTCATTCCTTATTTCCTCACTAAGTATAAGTTAAACAACAGTGCTCCTTAAATGGAGAGCGTCTTTCTTCCAGCCTCTGTCTTGACCAGGGGGCTTATATATTCTATATAAGCGCCGTGCTCTTGACTTTTGGCACAATGAAACGTGAGTTATTACTACGAGTGTTTATGTCATGGTTAAAACATTGAAATTTCACTTGGGGGAAATTCGTGCCAAGTGAGTGTAACGATTTGAAAACATCTATTACAACCCGTTTTTTCCGGCTAGTATAACACAATCTTCGTCTAGACGATTTTTGGACCGATTATTCGGGCTGCTTTGTCTTTTAACCTCTGTAATTTGGAACTATCAGTGATACTAAGACCCATATAAACAGGATAGCAATAGAGCATAATAGGATGTATCATTGTTCGATAATTTCTTTCCGCGACGTAGGGGCTGATGTTAGGGCGTATACGTGAAAGTTGACTTTTGACTTTTTTATAAACTTTAGACAACGCTCTTTTGCGTTGCTCCTGGCGTTTTTGTCCTGCTCAATGCATTTAACCATTACCTGTCAGCGACGCATGGAAGTTTCCATGTCCTTATATTGCATGATGCATACGTTCTCAGTTAAATCAGCATGGTGTATGCATGCACGTAACCTAATATTACAATATTACAAATCATACATGCTTGCTGTTAATATCATGCAACGAATCTTTACTGAAACCATTACGTTTTATTGACGTTAGATATAGACGAGTGTAATACACTAAGGAATGCCTGCCCAAGTGGACAATCATGTGAAAATGTTCCAGGCAGTTATCGCTGTCGTTGTCCAAGTGGATATACACTTCGCAACTCAAGATGTTATGGTAAATTTCAAAATTCTTCCCTAATTTGTCGAACATCAAAAACGTATAAAAATCTAAATCCGTTATGGCTAAAAATTCTTGATGTACATTAATTTTATTTTCTCTTTTTTAAAGATATTGATGAGTGCCGAGAAGGTTTGTGTGCTAGGCATGAAACATGTACTAATCTGCCTGGAACGTATCGTTGTGAAGACAAATCGAGGTGTGACCCTGGATATCGCCGTCAGAGTGGAGCCTGTGTTGGTACGTAAACACTATACTTAGTACAACTGACTTTTGCTGTTGAGAAGGAATCGTACAATTTAAGCGAATGCGTTGGTCAGCGAGAAGAATCGTAGCAAAATTTAACGTGAACAAATGTGGGAAACGGTAATAGAGGTTCTTATACAGACGCGAATTTTCAGGAAAAATTGTTAAAATCATTAAAGAAAATTTTGAAAACAAAACAATGCCAACCAGAAATAGTAATCTTCAAGAATATTATCGTCAGGATCAAAATATTTTTCCTGAAAAAAATGGGAAGAATTGCGTTGCATTGTTCTTTTCAACCTTTTTATAATCACATTGCCATAGTGAAACACTAAAGAAGAAAAAAATTCGAAGACATTTTTACACAATTAAGGGAACCTGGACGACGAGGTGAAATGGTCAAGAACTATATATAAGGGGCACAAATGTAAATTATTTCGGAAAATTATGAGTGTTAAGAACAATTGTGGGCAAACGGCCAGTTTTTATAGTCCTATAAAATCCCCTTCACATAACTCTCTCATAGATTTGTTGACCATAATGCCTACCGAGGCGAAGCGACCTCATTTTGCTTATTACTGATCTACTTTTTGTGTCCATTGCTTCACAGATGTAAATGAGTGTTTAGATTCCAGACGGTGCTCCAGTGATCAAGTGTGTGTAAATACAGAAGGAAGCTACGAATGCAGAGTCCGATGTTCGTCCGGTTATGAGCGAGATCCATCCACTAATGATTGTAGAGGTAGTTCGTGCATATATGTTATAAAAATCTTGTAACCAGGGTCTTGAAACAAAAAGCCACATTTACAGGGTGTATAAAAAAGGCAACCTCGTAATACTTATATTGTTATTAAGCACAATAGTACTTTCTATTGCATTAATAAAGACATCGATGAGTGTGCGGTTGGTAACCGATGTGGGCCAAATAGAGATTGTCGAAATCTTCCTGGAACCTTTAGCTGTATTCGGGGATGTCAACCTGGATACGAGAGAAATAATGGAAGGTGTGAAGGTAATATAACTTTAATATTACCAAAAGTGTTTAATTCCTCCACTAGTATTGTTTCGGAACATTAAAGTCATGGGAAATTCGAGTGGAAATCGAATATATGAATATAGAACTAATAGAAATTTTAAGTTTTTACATGGGATTGAATGGTGATTTATATTAATTTTAGATAAAGACGAATGTCTTATATATATATATGTTCTCCTCCGAGACCTGTATGTGAAAATATACCTGGTAGTTACAGATGTAATTATCGTAAATGTCCTGATGGCTTTGAAAGAAGACGAGATGGACGATGTCATGGTACGTGAGAGCAAAAATTATCAGACAAAGTTGTCTAACTTTATATATCGTCCCCAGCATTTTTCATTTGGCGGATCATGTTAATTAAAGCAACCATGTTATCATACTTTGGGGGTTAAACTCCCTCTTACATGGCTAGTTTTAATATTGTGACCACGTGAATCCGATGTAGTGTAAGAAGGGCCAAACGTGCGGATGTTATCTTGATGATCAGTCAAGTGCAAATGGGAGTTATAGTTATGGGGAAATAACTTTTAATTATATTCCCTGAATCAGTGCATGGTGTTTAAAGGGATTTAATCAGATACAGTGGCGTCGGAAGCATGAAATAGGAAGGGGGGGGGTCACACATTCTTAATTCATGTTAACAGAAAGTAAAGACACTTTATTAGAGTTTCGTTAACATTCGGGGGAAGTGAAACGTGATATACCAGTGACATTGCAATCAAAATATTAATCGTGTTACATCTATTATTAAGTAATAAAGTCAATCTAGAAATAAACCAATACCCCTGTCTTTTCCAACAAAACAATACTAATTTTTATACAATGCAATCATACAAGAAAATTAAAACAATACTAGTCCCCAAACTACCAATATTACTGCATGTACTCCAAACTACCAATATTACTGCATGTACTTCAAACTACCAATATTACTGCATGTACTCCAAACTACCAATATTACTGCATGTATCCCAAACTATACCAATATTACTGCATGTACACCAAACTATCAACATTACTGCATGTACCCCAAACTATACCAATATTACTGCATGTACCCCAAACTATACCAATATTACTGCATGTACTCCAAACTATCAATATTACTGCATGTACCCCAAACAGGCCAAACTACCAATATTACTGCATGTACCCCAAACTATCAATATTACTGCATGTATCCCAAACTATACCAATATTATTGCATGTACCCCAAACTACCAATTATTGTACAGATACACGATGTCATGATGAAACAGACAATATAATCTGATGTTGATCAATACTATGCAAAGACTTAACGGTTAAATCGAAGTGTCCTTTATCAACCTCGGATTATTGTATAAGAAGTTTGCAGTTCTTTATTTACCCATTGTTTTGAATGTAAAGGCTCGTTTACACGATTGAATTTGCAATTTTTTGTGCGATTTTATTACTTTGATAGATGTGAACGAGTGAAATAGTTACGACTGCTCAAAATAAGAACTCTTATACATCAGAGTATTCGTAACTAGTCACTCGTTCACATCTACCAAAACAAGAAAATCGCACCAAAAATTCCAAGTGTAACAAAGATATATTTATAATTTAGTCCAGTCACTTAGACGATAATTTGATACCTTAAGCAGTCACTTACCAGCAATAATATTTTCTCATTTATTTCAAGACATCGATGAATGCACTACCGGAAGACACAGATGCAGAGCCAAAACTGAAATGTGTGTTAATGTCAATGGCACATACTCGTGCCGCTGCAATCCCGGCTATTACAGAAGAGCAGAAGAAGTCCATTGTCGAGGTGCGTTCCAAAAATGCATGCCATATTTGCTATATATGTATGAATAATATAGGTCAGGCGCCGAAAAGCCCAGAAAAGCCCCGTTTACACACACTCGATTTATTGGCCGTGCCAGGCTAAAATTGGTACCCGTGCCCAGTTTTATTAGTGTTCAGGCTACCAAAATAAAGGACGAGCACAGATGAAATTGGTACGGGTACCAATTTTAGCCGTGCCGTGCCGATAAATTGAGTGTAGCTTAAACGGGGTTTTATACGAGCAGTTTTACTCCTATCGTCCGATGAACATGCTGTTTGGGATGAACTAGCTTCCACGTGCATATTGCCAATCGTTCTATCCTTCGCCTTATCTTTGTTAGATAAAGTGCAAACATGCAGTAAAGTCAGTAAAAAATAATGCATGTGAAACACGCCAGAAGAAATTTCGAAAAGCCACCTAAGGCGCTTGTTGAATCTCTTATTTTTCTTTTCCGTGCAAGGGCAAGGCCCTAAATTCAGAGTTCTCATTTGGCTGAGAAAGCTTTCCTATCTAGATAAAGATGAGTGTTCAGAAGCAAGCCAGTATTGTCAACACAACTGCGTAAACAGATGGTTCATTTAGGTGTGAATGCAGAAGTGGATATAAACTCGCGGATAATACAAATTGTTTTGGTCAGTATAATAACTAGTTTGGCTGCAAATATGGAAGTCGTCAGGTTTACAATGCTTATTATAGCATTATTTCCAAATATTTTAAACAGATGTGAATGAGTGCAGAGAAGGAATTTCAGGCTGTGAACAAAGATGTGTAAATAGTCAAGGTTCTTACCGTTGCGAATGTGAAATAGGATACAGATACAAAGAGATAAAGTGTCATGTGTAGGTGAGTAATTACATGCATTATATAATGTTTCGCGAAAAACTTGACTCGAATCTCGACTTAGTCTCGAGTCACTTTGAACAAGTTTATATTCATTTTAGCGTACCAACGTGCTAAAAACATAAATTACAATTGTTTCTCAATTCATTGTTCAAAGCAAGCAAAAACGGAGTGAAATCATATAGGCACAGCATCTTTTCATGGAAGAGTAATTTGTTCTTTATTCCTCTTAAACAGTTTAATTAAGGGAATTAATTCCCCCCGAATCTTTTTTGCAGATATCGACGAATGCAAACAACCTAGAGAGTAAATACTGGCTGTAAATGGAAATGTGAAAACACTATGGGGGGTTACAGATGTTCATGTCCAGTGGA